TTTATTAGGATTATGTAGATTTTTTGTTCATTTAATTATATTATCTGATATAATAAATGCTTAATTATTTAAATCATTAAAGTAATTTAAACTATTTAAATGAATCCTTAAGTTGTTCAAAAGAATTGAACTAGTGCACTGTATATCCTATTTTTTGATTATTTAAATTGATTACTTTTTAATACGCAATTTAGAAATCAATTCTTAGCAATTAAAATTCAAATTTGTCAAATTTTAATTTGTTTCATCTAAGATTTAAGAAATTCTATGATACATGATCTCTTTTAAAAAACGCTAAAATTATTTTTATAAACAAAAATTTCAAGTAATTAAATTGTTATACAATTTGCTGTATATTTAATTATGAATAAGTATATATATTTTTTTATTAAATTTACAATATTAGTATATTTATAATTTAACTACAGTATATAAATTTTCTTTTAAATACGCGTTCTAAGCATTACATTATAATTAAAATTATCGTTATATTCAATTACGTATATCAGGTATTGTGATGTATTAACATTTTTACGAATATAACGTTTTTACGTATCATAACGTTTTACTATTATTATTAATAATATTAATAATGATACTCAAAATATATTCATTCTGTATATTCGTTTAAGATTATAAAAATATTATTTTGAGAGATTTTGACCATATACTTGAAATAAATTTTTTTTTAAATTATGTATATTTAATAATTCTATAATTAGCTAAAATAACAATAATTATATTATATCAGCCGATTTGATTTTTTGGGGATAAACAGTTACACGAAATTTTTGCTCTCAAGTAACGTTGAAAAGGTAATAAACGAAACACATGTTATAACTAATAAAAGAGCTTTTTTGGCATCTAAGCTAGATAAAAAAAAAAACAAATAAAAGGTATTCTAAACTATAGAAAGGAGTAACCTTACTGTTTTTGATATATTCGGGTGTTTATCATTGTTCGATCGGTTTGTAACTGTCCAAAGGTGAATTCAGATGCAAATTTTCAAAAAGCGGCCTTTTTAATGTACTTTTGGCCTATAATAAATGCATAAATATCACAATCTTCTACATTTAATTAGAAATATAAGGCTACTAGTAGTTAAAAAAAGTCGTTTATGAAAATTAGTTTTATAATAAATTTTATGCATAAAATGTTTTGATAATCTCAATTATGATTGGGTCAAAACAAAATCAACCGATATTTCAAGTATTTTAAGAAAAGTAGTAATTATTCAAATCAAAATTATAAATGCAAAATACTAAATAATTTACCACAGAATTTAATAAATTTATATTATTTAAAGTTATAAATTTTATCAATTAATATCAAATTCAACTTCTTTACTTTGATAATCTTAATTCTCTAAATTTTAACAATTAGTTTTTAGTAAATATATGGGCAATATTTATTAACTATTATAAGAACTATACCTTGATCGTGAGTATTTTCATTATATTTTTGTCTTTTATTTTTATAATAGATATCTATCTTAAAATTTTATATTAACGTCATTATCATATATTAAAATTTTATTTGTTTCTTCTACATACCATCGTAAGCAAAATTTTTTCATAAAGTTGATGCTTTTTTGATTAGAACATGAGGGAGGTGCTGGTTCTTGTTGATAATAGTACAAAATTTGTTTGTCGCATAGAAAACTCAAGTCCATTTTCGATAATTGTCTATTCTGGATTGATGTCTTTATTTGATTATTTATATTTGTGCTATTATTTAATTACCATAAATAAGTAAGTATATGTAATAGATATTAAATCATTAAAAATCATAAGAAAATTAAAAACATCGTTTATTATACTTTTTGTTGTCTATAAAATTGAATGAAACTTCTAAAAAAATGGGTCATAAAAAAGATTATTTTTAACAGTTTATAAAAAAAAATAAATAAGATAAATTAATAATAATACCAGTTTTTGTGTTGTTTACCGAGTAGATATCTGATAAAATAGAATATCCTATTTATACGTTTATAAATAAGTAAACTCATACATTAAATTATGAAAAAGAAAGCCAAAGTAGTAATTTTAGCAAACATACTCATAAGAGTCTTATAATTTAATTGCATCCGTAGAGCAGTGTTAACTAAAGAACTTAGTGGCCTACTAGTATATATTGCCTGTGGGTTTACTTCTTTTATAGGCCTGTGTATTATATTTTCTGGGAATTTTATTTTTTTTCCATCTAATTTTGGAATAATATCATAATGAATAGAATTCCAAATATCCTTAGCACTTGGTCTGTTTAATGGATTTGCATCCCAACATTTTTTCATTAATTCAATATAAGGCTGTGGTAAATCGTTAATTAATTCGGGACGAAGACCATTAAGAATATCAAGAATAAGATATTCATCATGATTACGATCATAAAAAGGCTTTTGGCCAGTTGTCATTTCCCACATAATCATTCCAAAACTGTAAATATCTGATACTGTCGTATATTTTTCTCTAATAAATATCTCAGGTGCAATATATGGAATCACTCCATATATCTCTTTTGTATCTGTTATCGAATTTGC